CACTGTTCTGTGTCCAATGAATTTTCTCCATTCCATCTAGGTGGTGTAAGCAGTGGATATGGTAGTTTTGGGGGTGGATACAGTTCGTACTCAAGTGGCGGATACTCCATGAATTCTTATCCACTGGAGACCTCCTCAGTGACCAAGTCGAAAGCCATCGTCATCAAGAAGATTGAGACTCGGGATGGAAAGCTGGTGTCTGAATCCTCAGATGTGCTGTCCAAATAAGTTGTGGTTGCCTCCAGTTTAGAGTGCCTTAATCCAATGAGCCTTCCCTATTCTAGCTAGGCTGGTGGGTCACTGGGAGAAATGGGATGGAGACAGGAGAGGAGGATGGTGAAATTGCTTTTTTTTTTTCTCCTCTAACTTTCTGTAGGACAGGGCTGTGGGGAACTCTGTGGCCCTCAGAATACAACAGCTTCCATCACTCCCAGCCATTGGTTTTGCTGCCTGGGGCTTATGGGACCTGGAATCTAAGAACATCTTGAAGGCCATCGTTTTCCCCAGAACTGCTCTAGGACATCAGATACTACAAAATACTATAGAGCTCTCAATTCCAGCCACTCTCTTCCATCTCCCTCACCAGTCAGAGGACTTTCCATGCTGACTGAGTCCTCAGTAGACTATTTTTGTCTCCCTATCCCTGAGAGTTCTTTTCCTGCTGATCTTTTCTTTTCACAGGGAATGGCTACCATTTTGTTTCCCTGAGGATTGGCACTCAGGAGGATTGAGTGTGCTGTTTGTGTATATCAGAGATAGGCAATCTCTGGCCCTCCATTATGCCTCAAGGTTAACCAGGCTGGCCAGGCCAAAAACATTTGGAGGGTTGTGCTTGCACATCCCTGGTATATATGATTCCCAATGCCTTTCTCTTTTTCTTTCCTATCCTCCTTTCTCTCTGTAGAAACAAAGTAATCAGTGCCTTAACACTCAGCTATGTAGCTTCTCTCTCTCAGCCTGAAGACATTTTGGTTTTGTTACAAGAACTAAGGTTGCCTTCTCGCTGGGGGAGAAGAGCTAGAGCTACTCTTACATCTTTAACAACAACTTGTGAAAAAATCAGGCAAAGCTTTTCCATGAATATGTCATGAAATGCCATGAATACCACAGTTGCCTTCTAATAACTGCTGACCAAAGATCTGGTAAACCTTATTGCAACCAAATCCTCATTTCTTCCCACATTATAGAGTTAGGTAGAGTGTTTTTTAAGATATCAAAAACACTTCAAATAAATACTGGCATCACTCTGTAGGCCAAAAATGTGAGCTAAATGAAGAAATTTAATGCCACCTCTTTGTTGCCCTGTCATTCAAATAAGGGAGAGATCTCTGTGTATGTGAAGTCCCAAATATGACTAGGCAATCTTTCCCCTCCCCTCCACCCCTTGACTCTTAGGAATAATGGCTAGACCTCTGTATCACTGTCTACATTATGTAACTTTACATATTCTTAGCTATGTAGCAGAGATGCTAAGAAACCCTGTTAATGAATTGCCAAGATGATTGTCAGGATACCAGCAAAAGTGCCCAATGCACATTGGTCCCGTTGCACATCAGTCATTTTGTCAGCTCTGGCACATAGTAATGTAACAACATTCCTAGATATGGACATTACAAACCTGCCCATTCCAATTCCTGCATATATAAGCCTGCTTATGAAGATGAAAATCCCATACAGGTTTCTGGTCCACTTTCATAGGGAGAATAATGGGGCCTTGAAATGGATAGGGTTTTCAATTGGTTTTGCCACTACTGATCTCATTGGGGTATCTTTCAGAATTTTTCAGCAGACCAAGAAGTTTGGGGCTGGATTCCCCAAACTTCCTAATTTTATAGGTATTGTGAAAGGCAAGTAGATCCATAGAACCCCACCCCATAGAAATCAGGAATTGTTGCTTTTCAGCAAAACTGCCAGATTTCTTTACATTTAGGAGAAAAAAATTGAATGCTGTAGGGAGCAAAACTGTCGGGCAAATTTTCCTATCCTTGCTGGAAAGTGATTTGCTTGCTGTAACACTAGTCTGTTCTCTTAGATCTCTAGCCCTCCACTTGTTTTGATGTATAGTTCTCATCAACCCTTACCATTATGGGTGGAGGATCAGAGTTGCAAACCAAAAGGTTCCTCTTTGTTGTTTTAGGCTTCCATAAAGAGAAGTGAGCCAAGGACTGTTATAGGTTCATACGCTTTGCATGTTTATTTGGGAAGTTTGCCTTAGTAGCTGTCCCCCGCCCCCCCACCCCCATTTTTGGTGTGGAATATAATTAGGTCAAAACTTCAATCTAAACTCAGGCTGTGAACAAAGCTTTTGTGCTGAAGGATGTGGAAATGAAGTGTTCAGGGTTAGGAGGAGCACAAAGCAGAACAATCTGTGAATTATCTTTGAAAAACTCAACTTGGTTTCCATTTTGTGTGAAATAAAAAGCTTTACCTCTTGAACTCCACTGTTGTGAGAGATACCTTTTTTGTGGTGGCTCTATTTTTTGGATGATAAAGGTAATGGTTAAACAGGAAAAAATTGGCCTAGTTATTAATTTTGGCAGAAATCTTATATGCAAGTTATGAATGTGTAACCTACAGTTATGTGGTCATGACTTCGATATGCACTATCCCTAATGTGACAGTCCCCAATCCACACTTACCAGGAATTATCCACTGAAATCCATGGGAGAATAGATTGGGCAGCAGTTGGCTCATGGTTCTACCCAGCCCTGCATGAGTGCTATCTTATGTTTCTATGATTTTCTAATGAGAACTGCAAGCAGAACCTGAACTTATTACTTGATTCGACCTGTGAAAGTGAAAACAACAGCAGGTCATACTATGGCACAAAAAGAATAATTTTTAATTTATTTTTTTAGTGACCGAAGCTATCACAATACCAGGGAGCTGACACTATAGACATATCTTCTGGTGCCTAAAGACTTAGCAGTTTTATTATTATGCTATTTTGGAAGGTATGGCTTGCATCAGCTCTAGAATCAGAGTCAGCAGCTGCTTGGTATGGGATCCAATGTTCTCCTTTGAAAATTTCCAGGGGCTATGCTACAGAAGTGGCTAAAATGTCACTAAAGTGGAGAAAAGGAAATCTGAAATGACCAGGAGTCTACTTTTGAGTTTGAGCAATGGCTTCTTTTGAGGTTAAACATTTGCAGAGGGCCCTGAAACCGATTTGAAAGGTAAATTATCTGTCTGGGATTTTTCCAAGAGGCCATTTGCTTTGGCCAAAGAAAGGGAAGTTTGGGAATCTAGCATTGTGGGCCACAAAAATACCAAGACCTACAATTTACCCTCCCTTGCTCAAGGACATGAGTGGGAAACTGTTCCCTCTAGGTGTTGCTGGACTGCAACTCTCATAATCCCTCAGCTATGCTGATTTGGACTGATGGCAGTTGCAGTCTAAACCACAGATGAAGCGACATGTTTCTCGCCTCTACTCCAGAATCTCTTATCTTGTTCTGGAAGTCTGGCTAAGGGAGATTTGGGATGAGTGTGTAAATCATTTGCACCTTTGGACTTTCAACCTTATTAAATCACCAGGATTTAATCTGTGGTATGCCAGGAGTGAGAATTCTAGTACTGGCCAATGCTTTTCTCAAGTGCTGAGTCCGCATCTAATCAAAAGAAAAAACGCTTCACCTCTAGGCAGACTTTTATTTTCAGAGATGGGGGATGGAGACAAACTACTTAATGTGCTTAAGTCCTCCTTATCTAGAAGTTTGAAAACAAATGTTCCAAAAACCAAAACTTTTTTTTCTTGGGTGGCTGAGTGACAGTTCAATGTACACAAACTGTGTTTCATGCAAAAAATATTAAAAAATACTGTATTAAATATTACCTTCAGGTTATATGTATAGGGTACATATGAAACATAAATGAACTTTATGTTTAGACTTACGTCCCATCTCCAAGATATATTATTTGCATAGTGTATGCAAATACATGTATTGTGAAATCCAAAGAAATCTGAAAACCAAAACACTTCAAACCCCAAGCATTTTGAATAAGGGACACTCAACCTGTAGTGTAATCTGATACTTACCTACCAATGACTAATAAACGTATGCCTCCAGTCTCTATATTGAAAATAAGACTGGAGGCTCATAGCTTTTTACCCATATTTTCTGGATGTGGTTATTTCTTCCCTCCATCCCCTAATTTTTTGTTACCACTTGGAAGAAAGAGTTCTGGAGAAATCAAAAACTTACACACACTCTTTCAGTGTTTTGGTAAGTCCAGCTGTGGATTTTTTTAAAAACCCAACCAAACTACTCAAGGAAAATCAAACAATCCAAAACCCTAGAAGAAAAAACGTCAGCAGATCCATTATAAATTGTTAACAATGATGGACCACAGAAACCTTTACTACCAGACACTGTGCACATGGTACCCACTGCAACCTACCACCCTTGGTACCTTTTTTGCACATGGAACTCTTCATGCATTAATGGCAAGAATTTAATTCCCTTTGATCATCTTGGTTTTAGGAACATCCCACCTCCCTCTTTACCTACAGTTTTAAAAACAGGCTGACAGCAGCTCTGGAACTGGATCATGCATTCTCCACTACCAGTTACCTAGGCTCCATGTTCTCTGCATCATGTTTATTATTTTGCTATGGCTCCCTCAGGAATATACTGTAGATGATCTACCACCTGCTCCCTTTGCCTTTCTCCAGTTCAAAGCTCTAGCATGTGCAGATATCTGCACAGACCTCACTAACTCCCAGAGCTCCATTAGAAAACTGCAAGGTAAAATACCATCAGTCTGGGAATGGAAACTGGAACTTTGCAAACCTCCTCTCTATAGCCCTCTTCCTCTGGAGTAAGTTAAAACATTAACATATCAGTCCATCTGTTCTTATGTGCCTTCAAGTCAACACAGATTTCTGGTGACCCAGTTCTAGGGTTTTCTTGACAAGATTTGTTCAGAAAAGGTTTACCTCTGCTTTCCTTTGAGGCTGGGAGAATGTGACTTTCCTGAGGTTAACAAGTGGGTTTCCATGGTCAAGCGGGGAATTGAACCCTAGTCTCCAAGAATCATAGTCTGCACTCAAACCACTACACCACATTAGCTCTCCAGTTCTCTTCCTTTCCATTTTTTTTTTTTTTTTTTTTTTGCCTTCCAGCTTTGTTCTACCCCTTGTGTCACTCAGCCTAGTTCACTGCAGCCAAGATCCTGGATCTTGTAAAGTAAAGCTCTGTTTGGTGTAATTCCACTTCCTCCCCTCTTAATGTACTGATCTGCTGCTAGGATATTCTGCCATGGCCATATAGTAACCAAGGACACACTGGAGCATCCAGGCAGTGCCTGTATTTCAACAGCCAGTCGCAAGATGACAATGTCATCCTCTGAGGCCTCCACAGGATTCCCAGGAAATCGAGTGCCTTCCTGTGGTCAGCTGCTGAAATACATCCAGCCAGCGTCCAGCACCTTCCCACAGCAACTAAACAGCCATGGTAGGGGGGATCATCAGTACACTCACTGATCAAGAGTGATGGGAGTCATTATAGAGGTGGTCTTGAATACATTTCTTTGCGATTACCACACATACACACACACGTAAGCATAATGTAACATTATGTCTGCATATGCCAGCATACTTCCAGCCTACATCTCAAGTTTCCCACTGTGTTTTGGATTCTCAGACCCTGTCTGCCAAATTCCAGGTGTGCTGTCTATTCCCTTGTCATCTTCCCCATTTCCACAACGCTCTCAACTTTCTTTGTCCACCTCTTAGCCAAATATAGCTTCTGGTCCAAGCATCATTGGACTCGTACACAATTTTCTATTCTCTGGCAAAGTAGATGTAATGCTTTAAATTTTATAACAAGACTCAGGTATTTCTTGATACATGTCATAAACTGTTTAACACCTAGTACAAGTGTAACGTGCAGTTTCTCCGTGGCAAATGTCTCCAGACCCAAGCTCATGTACTGATTGATTGTATGTGTACACTGACAGACTGGTGTTCCCTTGTGAATGGGAACAAGGGAAACACTTAAATGCCAGGAAGAATGCCAAGGAACAGGAAAAACATGTAGAGCCCCCTAAAATGCCCTCCTTCCTTCTAGGCTCCCAAAAGAAGCCCATGAATATTCCCTTTCATCTTTCATTTATCCGAAATACCTCCTTTCAGGAGGGGTTGCTTGTTTAGCATTTTCTTTCACCTGATTTCACTCCAAAGATTTAGTTCACACCTCCAGGAGGCAAACTACAGTTACAGGAACAAACATCCTCTCATCCATACCATTCATCCTCTTGTTAATATTTAATAAATGGAAAGAGACATTACAAATTAAAATATTAACGACAACATGGAAAATATGGAAGCATTTATTGCACATTGGACATTTTAAATTAAAACAGCAACCCCTGTCTCTGCTATTAGGAGGCAGCAGCAGCTTCCTCATTCCTTCTTCTTCCTCTTCCTCTTTTAATTAAAGTGGCATCTGAAAAATAAAATCTCTAGCGGTTTCTGGAGATCAGTGCGAAGACTGTCGGCAAGTCCGGGCCGACACCGGGCGATGGCTTGGCTTCCTAACGTGGCAAATCTTTGGCATTACGGGAGCATCTGGCTTTCCCAGCTTAAGTCTCTGTCCCACGTCATTCCCTGTAGGAAGCAGGCCAGGGGACGACTGGAAGTGAAAGCCCAGGACCCTCCATTCCAGCCTGTAGAGAAAGGCTGGACTTGGGAGGTGATTGTGCTTTTCTTCAACAGCATCTTCGACCAAGCTGTTTCAGAGGAGACTGGCAGCTTGGAAACTGTCCAGGGTGATACTCCCTTCCCCACAGGTGGACGGAACAGGCAGCTTGACAGAGAGGGCCTGAGATCAGGCCAGCACCGGCCGCTCAAGCGGCTTCAAGTATTCCCTTTGGCTGGGAGCAAAGGCTGCTGCCAATACCAGTCAGGGTACAACGTGTTTGTAGGATCCAAGCCCCAGGAAACAGGGGAGAGAGGGAGGGCACTGAGCCTCGAGACTGGAGCCTCTTTCAGTGAGGGGCAGAGGTGCCTGGTGCACTGGTCTTTGTGGCAGTCCATTGGGGGGCTCAGCTGCTGTGGCCCTGCCCTTTCTTTGCCCTGCTGGTGTTGGCTGTGCTCCCCTCCCCAGTGCTCATGGCAGGCGATCCTGGTGCCCCTCTGCAGGGCAGCAGCGACAACACACATATGCAGAGGGCGGTGCTGGACCTGCTAGGCCTCTGAAGCTGCTTGTGGCTTCAGCTGAGCCTTCTCCATAGCCGTGCCGTAAGGAAGGGAACGCTTGAAAAAGCCCAGCTGAGGAAGGAATTAGAAAGGTGGTCAGGGTCTACATGGAGTGAAACATGATTGTCTCTAGAGCAAACCCCATTGAAATGAAGCAACTCTTGTGCAAAAACCCTAGTTGATCAAGTCCCTCACATTACAAAGTGGGGCTAACACAGGGGACTACCCTAGGAAATTCTGCCTGTAATGGCACAAAATGAGTGGGAAGGGCAACACCATCCTTCCAGTATTTATTATCACACACACAACTCCTTTCATAGATCTTGCCTCCAAATTCTTGAGGACCAGAAAATTTCACATATTAGAGAGGGAGGGTTTTTAGGGTTTTGCACAAGGCACAGAAATATCAAAAAGGCAGAACCGCCTTGCCTATAGGGCTGTGTGTTCACCCCTTCCAAAATATGCATTCAGAATAAATCACAAAAATTAAGCCCTCAGAATGCAATCATATGTGCATATATGGCTGCAATCCAACGTTATGACAGCACAGCATCAACACCCATATAAAGTCCTATGCTATGCTGAGGCATATGTACTCTCCCCTTAATTTACTGAGAAGCCCCTGAAACTGCCACACAAAACCATTCTGTGCTTCAAAGCAAGCAAGCAGGCCTGGGAAAGCATCTGGCTACTTCCTCATAGCCAGACACAAAGTGATGACATAAGCACTGAGATCTGGTGGGGTCCTCATCACTGCTCTAATCAATACGTGTCTGGCTCTGGAACATAACCAGACACTTATCCCATCCTGTCTACTCCCAATAAAGCACAGAATGGCTGAGTGGGGTGGCTTCAGTGGCTTTACACCAAGTCAAAGTGGAGCATCTTTAGGCATTGCACAGGAAAGAAGGGAACAACAAACCCTGTGGTGCCCAAAAAGGACATCTGTACATGTAAGGGCCACTTAAGCATCTGTATGTTCCTAGCAGAATTCTGGCCATTATGTGCATACATCAGTTCATGGTTGTAAAGGCCTTCTTCACACACTGCGATTTTAAGCGTCCAATGAATCTAAAATATGAGAATGTAGCAAACCTATGTTTTGAAATAAACAGATCACAGAGGTACATTAGTCACTTTGTTCAAGTGATGGCAAACCTGGATGGACCTCTTTATCAAAATGTGTGTTGGAGCAGGGCTATAAAAGAACAGATATAGGACCTAGGGAGGATTGGAAGCCATCCAGAGAGCAGGAGCCCCACTCCATGATCATCCCTTGGAAATCTGCAAAGCTTTCTTTTGGCTCTTCAGGTTACATCATAACCCTTATGCTTCCTGGCTATTTTTCTCTGTAACCATGAGGTTTGGAAACATGGGCTTTGGGGTAGCAAAGAAGATGGCCAGAATTCACTTGGAGACTTACATCATCATAAATGGCCTTACGCCTGCAGGAAATAGAATTGAGTAGTTTTGCAATGTCTGCTATTATGTTACTATGTAGGAGTGTTAGCAAAGTGTCTGATGTGCATCGGGACCTGATATTCATCAAGACTTGATACATAATGGGACTGATGTGCATTGGAATTTGATTATCATTGGGACCAATGCACAATGGGACCCAATGCACAAGACTGATGCACAACAGGAAATTCTTGCTGATGTCCCATTATGCATCTTCGCTAATAGGATTCCTTAGCCCCACTGCTATGTAGCTAACTATATGTAAAGTTATGCTACGTAGACTTCAATAGAGAAGTCTGGATGTACATAAACCTTGCAGTCCTACTTGCACCTAGTATTTCTGAGATTCTAAACCCTTCACTCCAAACATGAATGCACACCCTCCCTCTTCATGGGATTGCTCCCCACTTGGCTATCTCACCTTGTATAATACATAGATGAGCAGTGCCAGAAGCAGCAGTCCAATCAGAATGGCTAAGATGATGATCCAGAGAGGAACCCCCTGGCTGGTCTCTGCTTTGGCCCAATGCAGTGACGTTGACACCTGCCAAGAGAAAGGAAGCAAGGCTAAAGCCTGGTACCAATCATGAGCCACTATAGAGCCAAGTATGGCCTTGCCACACTAGAAGGGGCCCATGGGAAAGTCCTAATCAATCTTGTATCTTGAGGATGGTCTATCTGGCAACACTGTTAGTCAGGAAGGTTAAATTGGTCGTCTCTGCACAGAGGAAGGGTTCTTGGACCAATAAGGAAGGATGACTTCATGTTTCCTGGCTAGGCTGTGAGTAGGGGGGCACAGCTACATGGACCTTGGCAATAGTCAGCAAGGCAATTATAAGAAAAATCTTTGCATCAAACTAAAGGCCCATCTCTGTAACCCATCATCCTTTTTTTCTACTGTAGTCAATAGGATGTCCATGGGGAGCCAACAAACAGATCAAGAGGGCAACAGTATCTCCCCACTCCTGCTCACCAGGGATTGGTATGGAGAGGCCCGGTACAACAGGTGACCAAAAATGAAAGCAAAATTTAATTGTAGTTTATGTTCTAAGTACACTTTCAGGGGTTGGGGAATATTTTCACAGTATCTATGGGACTGGTCTTTTACCAAATCTGGGCAAAATTCACCCTCAAAATTGGGGTGGCTGGGACTCAGGGGGCTGCATATGTCACAAAGGCTGCAGTTTGCTTATTCTTGGCTTAGTGCCTCTGATCCTGCAAATAGCAGAAAACCATAAATAAATAATGAAACAACAAAATAAATAAATAAATAAATAAATAAATAATGACTATAGCAGCTGATAGTCTTGTCCTCCATGAATTAGACTGATCGCTTTAAAAAGCTATCTAAATTAGTGGCTTTCAATACATCTTGTGATAGTAAATTCCATCATTTAACTGTGCACGGTG